GTCTTGTAGGTAGAAAGGAGGAACATCCAATTTTGAACTAGTCTTTCAAGGATTTCAGACACCACCTCCCACCGTGTCGGGCGTAATAGCATTATTATAGCACACAATTTTACAAAGTCTTGACCCCTCCTCCCCTAAACGTGTGGTCCACACGGTGTGGACAACCCCTAAGTCTATTTCAAATTATAATTTAAACATTTATGTAGACAAAATTTGATAAAATTCTTTTTTTTTATTCGGAATTTAACACATTTGATTATATAATATATTGGTATTGTATGTTAATATACTACTATATTCAATATTTAAAATTAGTACTCCTGTTTAAGCCCTTTATTCTTTATACTTTGACATTTGCAATAACCACATGTGGTTATCAAATTTTGTCTACATAAATGTTTTTTTATTAGTTGGCAAATTCTAGGGACCCTAAATTTAAAATTGGCTATATTGATAGGGCAAACTAGTTTAGTGCACAATTATATTGTGCACTAAACTAGTTTGCCCCATTAATATAGCTAATTTTAAATTTAGGGTCCCTAGAATTGGCCAACTAATAAAAAAACGAACTTGTACTCTTTATCTTGTTTTCTATTACATTTTTTTAAAATAAATCAACTTCTTATTTAAGTGGGTATTTTAATTTGAAAAAATGTATTTTTTCAAGGAAGTTTTATATACATATATAAAAATATAGTTATCTTAACACCCAATTTAAATTTAAAAAATGCATTTTTTAACTAATGGTACCTATAGAGAACTCATGGAAGATTAAAGTTTATCTTACTATTTTTTAAATTAAATTTAAAGGAATCTTTTGTTGGTAATCCAGGAAACGGTTTGTTTAAAGTTTTGATGTGTTTAGTGGACATTATTGGGAAGGTGCGTCTTCGCGTTAGCGGGACTTACCAAACCTGAGGCCGGTCCTCCTAAACACCGTGTGGTTAAGGTCAAGGCCCTAAGTCACGTGGCACTTGCCAAGGTCACGCGGCGAATCAGGTACAACGGCACTGGACCGAAAACCGGGGAGAAAGAAGAAGAAGAAGAAGAGACGAATGGGGCAGAGAAGGGGAAAACCACCACACAAGTTTTCTTCTCGTTAAAGGATTGAACCACGTGGACGCGGTAAAATTATTTCTTGAGCGAGAGCGCGACCGTATTGTTTTGTTTACAAGTGCAAGAATCGAACTGACTCGGGCAGGAGAAGGCGACTGGAATCGAACGTTGTTGGCTCACTGTCCAACGCGACCAAGGAAGAACTCGACGCAATGTTGTCAGATATGCTGTTCTGTTCTACTACTTCGGGTTGAGTCCGCAAAACATTCTTTTAGGTGACAAGCATCGTTTAACTGTTTTTGCTGACTCCTTTGATCGTATTGCGAGATAAAAAAAATATAACAATATTGCCTAATCTTCTATGAGTTTATTATACAGGTTTTGAAGACCAAACTTAAAAATTCTCAGGATTTAAATATTCACTAATTCATTAAAAGTGGCACCAAGTGCAAACGCGAAGAGAACATGGTCATAAAAATCAAAATATTCTGGTATATTTTGTGTTTCTAGGTTCAAATATATCCTGATATTTATAAGCATAAATTGATATTTATTTTATATTATTTTGTGTGTTTATTTCATACAGGGTGGAGAAATAGGATTTTTTGGATAGTAGTGGACTTTGTGGAAAAACCCTTAGATTGGCTTCACCAGTAACCATGGCCATTGACAGTTTATTGAAAAAAAAAACGTACACTCGTTTAAAAAACCAATGTTTAAAAGCAAATTGTCATAATTGGTTTTCACAAACTTGTAGCTGGTAGCAGTAACTTCAGTTTCAAGCGGGACATATCGATGGTTATTTGACAAAACATCGTAACAATTTTGTTGAATTACTTTTTATTTTATTAAAGTGTCAGTTACGATAAGCTGCACATGTTAACATAATAGTTATCCCAATTTTGGAATCTAATATTGGTCAGTTTGAATATTTTTATTATTGTAAGCTTATAATTCCTTTTTTTCATTGCATTATTAATAGTTATCCTAATTATAATTGTTTTTACGTAGTGTGGTTCGTTAAAAGTGTTTTTTGTAGTAATTGTATGTTGTTATAGCGTCAAATAATTTTACTCAAATTTATAACGGTTAGATCATGGTACCATGGGTTAGATTATGGAGCCTACAGTGTAGGCCCTACACAAGGAGTCCGAACATAATGTAAACAAGAATCTTCCTAAGATAAGAGTGCGCTGGTGTTCCGTTTATTCTGAAACAATTGTTTAATTTGTACAATCAGCGCCGCTGGTGGTGAAAAAAAGAAAATTAATTTGTACAATTTAGAGGGCTGGTTTTGTCAATTTCCCCTATTTAGTTCGGGCTCCTTGTGTAGGCTCATGGGTTAGATTAGATACTGGTTTTTGAATAAAAATCGTTCGTGTTTTTTTTTCAAAGAAAGCTAATGTAGAATTTCATTTTCAAACATTATTTGGCAAAATATCGTTGGTGATATTTTATAAATTAATTTTTTTGTTTTTTTTTTAAATTTAATAATAAAAGTAAAAAAATAAATGTCGCTAACGATGTTTTGACAAACGTAATCATCAAATCTATATCCCACAAAGTAACGTAAATGTAACTTAATTTTACATTTTCCTAAAGATGTTCTTATAAAATATCGTATGCCACAAAATTTAATGAAAATTTTAGATTGGATTTGATCTTACTTAAATATTTGAATTCTACATTAATAAAATATAGCCTCACCAGTGTTTAAAAATAAAGCTCCCACACAAAAAAATCTCTTGTAAAATTTAGGTTTTGTCGCTTACGATGTTTTGTCAAATAATCATCGATATTTTGCAATATATTTCACTTGCGATGCGCTTCACCCCTTCGCGCAGTGGTCGCAACCCCCAAAATTTTATATGGCAAGATTGTGCAAGTGATTTGAAAAGTCTTGCTCCACTAAGTATAAAATTTCATCCATTCGAAATTTAAAATTGAAGTTGCAACGCGATAATCGTTGTTACTGGTCAAATACAAATCCAAGGGTTTTTCCTCTGGTTTTCCAGAAGTCCAAACTCAATCTCCCTTAAAACCTAATGTCTGGACAGTTATTTTCGGAGGTCGTCTGGTTGGGCCCATTTTTCTTGATTGTTAACGTATTTGTAATTACCACAAGATGTAGTTCATCCTTGACTGGTCCATATTGTTGAAAACGATGACTCCTACATGTGACTATTTAATCTTCCAACAAGATGGACCAAATGTTCCCTGGACAATGGGTTGGCCATAACTCCAAATTTCATTTTTTGTATTTTTTTAAACCTCCGTGGTATGGTTGGTGCACCAATTTCGGGACAACAGTACTTCACACGAATATCCTTGACGTTATCAATGATAAGTCCACTGCAATATAATAACGTAATCCTTGACGGCTTTAAGCCGGGTCCAGACTTGGTAACATTGTTATATAACTTTGCTATATAACTCTGCTATAAAACTTTTGTTTAAAAACATAGTCGCGTCCACACCTAGGTCAGTCAAGATGGATGCAGAAAACCAACTACTAGCAGCAGCGGCGTGCGTAATTTTGCTTACCAAGAAGAAAAAACCGAGGAAAAAGCGGTTTTGGGTTCGACCTACACTGAGGTCAATAATTCAATAAAGTGGGACTCATTTATTAGAGGATCTTAAACAAGACGATGTCGGCTCTATCGACTACGGAATGAGATACAGGGGAAGCTTCAAAAACTTCTGTAGAATATCCAGTTCGGATTTCGACCAATTGCTAAATATAATTGGCCCCAAAATTCCCAATTTTATTCCAAGCGTCATGTTTTTTTTGTTTATTTTTGTACAAAGGGCTAAATGTGTCCCATAGTTCGGAATTTTCTCTATATAATTCAATTAGCTTGCACGTTTGTTCCACGTTCCATTCTATTTTATATCAATAATAATTATATAAATAATTATTATTTATATATTATATTTTGTTTAAATTTGTTTGCACTTCACTCAAACTGCACAGCACTGATCGGTTGTTGACATAAAGTTTAACAAGTGTGGACACGTTTGTAATAGCAGTGCGATATAACTTCTTTTGATCTTACCGACTCTAGATGGATAACATATAGCAAGTAATATAGCAAGGAATTCTGCTACAATTAGCTTAAATTTTAGTAACATGTTATATAACCTTGCTATATAGCAGTGTTATATAGCAAGTGTGGACCCGGCTTAAGAATCTGATAGACTTTCTGTCGACGTCCTTGAGCCGGACCTGCGATTTAGTCACGTGACAATCGCGCCGCGACCTTCTATCTGTATACAGTATATTCGCCGCGAATAATTCTCGTCTACTTCAGTGTTGCGAGGTCTACATTTTTGCAGTACCTGTACTGTTATTTTTAGTTTTAGAGAAAAGGTTGAATAAACTGTCTTTTGTAATATATATAATTAAAAAATTGAGTTGATAGTAATATGTTTCCTGTTTTAATATGTTCTCTGTTATTTATCAAATGCCTTCACAAAGCAAATTTGTTAACAAAAAAGTATTGGATATATTTTAATAAATGTATAAAAAATTATCTGATTAGATTTTTTTTTAATTTATCTAATTTAAATAAATTACCTACGTTGATAATAAATACTTAAAACTATATTTTTAATAATTATAAATATTATCATCCAACTGTTTTTTTTTAACTTTTTCTAAGAAAATCTGCCTGACCGTGAAAGTTTCACTGTGAAACTAACCTGACAACGCTGTCAACGTCGTACCTGTCACTCGTTTTTACAAAGAGCGAACTGTGGATGAAAAGAGAGAGAAACGCATTGCCATTGGCTAAATAGGTGAATGACTGAATGTATATGCTTACCTTGGGTCCGAAACAGAAAAAGATCATTTCTACATTCTCTGCCCGACAACAGTTTATTTATTAAATACCAAAGTAAACGGTACACATGCATTTCATTAAAAAACTACAAAGTTTACGTACCGTTACTCAAGCGGGTGTATCATGTAGTAAACATTCTTATTTCCCAATGAAAAAATGACATCCAGAATCATTTGTTTTACGGCTTCAGTTACTTAATACCTATCAATTTTCACTTTCACAAATCTGTTTCTGCAAGGCACACCTCATAATAGAGTTTATTGACACCGTGCCCAGGTAGCAGCAACAAATTTTACAAACTCCTTGTTAATTACATTACTTCAAGATTTCGTTTTAATTGTCAACTATTTCCGTTTGGTTTTCCACACAATATAAAACACAAAAAAACCGAAATTCATTTAGCAATTCGTCTCTAAACTTTCTAATTTATAAAACTGAAAAAACAAACTTAAAATGAACAATTCACGATCGTCTGTAAAAACAATGGAAATTAAAAATTCTACATGAACGACATCTGACAGCACTTCAAGAAACAATTTTTGCCGCCATAATTTAAATTTGGAATATTCGACAACTATACCCTTAATATAAAAATATTAATTAAAATATAATGATATTTAACATCTTAAACAACTACTTATTAAAATAATTTTAATAATATTGTAAAGGTATGTACAATTTGTACGGATTTTTAAATTTGTGTTCAAACTAAAACGTAGGCGTGTTCTTAAAATATAATCACGTGCTATAGGCTTTGACAAGTGACAAGCCGTTTGTCAAAATATAAGCTATATTTTTGTTGTTTATTGTGTTTACATTGTTTATCTTAAATACATTATTATTAAAACATCGAATATACAAATAAACTTTATAAATAACTACGAGGAAACTATTGAACTGTTTTTATGACTAATTATGGCGCTAATCATTTACCAATGAACTAGTTCTATTGTGTTGTATAATAGTGAATATGCGTTCTAATCATAAAAATACTTTGTTAAAAGTTGTAATTTTGGGAGATGGAGGTGTGGGTAAAAGTTGTCTAATGAATAGATTTGTGTCGAACCAGTTTGATGAACATTCTTTTCATACAATTGGGGTGGAGTTTTTAAACAAAGATATAGATATTAATGGAGATACTTATACGCTTCAAGTAAGTAAATTCACAAAAATAAGATTATTTTGGTGACAAATCAGATTTATATTTTTTTTAGATATGGGATACTGCTGGACAGGAACGATTTAAAACGTTAAGGACCCCATTTTACAGAGGAAGTGATATTTGTATGCTTACATATGCTATAAATGATAAATCAAGTTTTAAAAATTTACAAATGTGGAAAAATGAATTTCTCTATTATGCTGACATTAAGGAGAACAATCAGTTTCCTTTTATTGTTATAGGAAATAAGGTAATTACATTATTCATTATTTACAGGGACAATTTTAAACAACCTCACTAAAAGCAATGTTTGATCAGGAAAAAGATATTGCAAGTTTAAAAGGTAAATTCCTATTGTTTTTATAATTTTTAGTCTGATATTACTAGCGAGAGGGAGGTATCTCAATTAGAATTAGAAACGTGGTGTAATGAAAATGGAATCACGTCAAGCATAGAAACTTCAGCAAAAAATGCAAGCAATGTGCAAGAGGCCTTCATATTGGCTGTTGAACATTGGTTAAGGATTGAAAAAAGAGCAGACAAAAATGAAACTGTCTATAATGACACAGTTGATTTGACTAAAAAGCAAGGGGAAAAATCATCTTGTTGCATTGGATCATCTGATGAAAACTAAATAATAAAACTATTGTGAATTATAAATATATTACTAAGCTATAAATTTCAAGAGGGGTACCCAGAGCCAGTTAAATTTTCCAACTTAATTTTTTTTAGGTATAGAGTCTATACTATAGACATGCTATTTTAAAATATTATATGTTTGTAAGTAAAATTTTAATTCCAATTGAAAATGAAATTTGAAGCCTCTAAGCTTTGGGGGCCATGGCAAACTGACCTGGTTGCCCCTCCTCTTTGTGCCCCTAAGTTTCAATGTAAATAAGTGCATCTTAAGTTTATTTTAGAGTTCATCTAGTTGAAATATTATTTATTTAAAAAATGGCAATGTGATTTTAAAAGTTAGTGTGATACCTAATTTAAATTTTCCAAGCATATAAGATGTTATTGAGTTTTTTTATAATGGAATTTAATGTTTTTAAGGATCAAGGATTTTATTGTTTATTTTTAACACATTTCATCTAGAAGTTTTGCTAATGCACAGTTTTTCTCTCCAATATAACAAATGTTGATCTTTACCTTACATGGGTGACAAAATAAAAAATTACAAAACAAGGAATAATAATAATATTAACATTATGTTGCCTTTATTATGTATAAGTTATGTATTATTACATACACAGTATTATTTAAATAAAATGTTAGGCTTAATTAAGCTTAATAAACTAAAAATATCCATATATCAAAATCAAAATGAATTTTGTTTGATATTGTGTTAAATTTGATTTTATAAATAATTTTAAGATAGACACTACGATTTTATAAAAAGTGTCTTAACAATATCTAATAAGAAAATTTTTATATCAAGTTTATAAATTTTTAGCATAAATATTGTTATGAAAAATGTATTTTAAACATTTTTAATGTCGTATATTCTGGGTCATTCTTAGTTTTATAACTAAACCTCCAAAAAGCAACCAACCTAAAATAGGTATCATGTGAGATTTGTTTGTTCATCTCCAATTTTAATTATTTATTTATTTATATATTCAAATATTTGTATATTCTAAAGGAAACTATGTTCTTATTTTTATTAACGCTTTATTTAAATAAAAATTAATTAACCACCATTATAAAAAAACAGAAATGCATATTTGGGTGTTGGGTGTATTAAAAAAATTTAACGCTTACACAGTTTTGTCTTGGGTTCAGTTCCATTTTAAATGTTATTTTCTGTGATTAAAATATAGTATTATTATATTTAAATAGAGAAGGATGAGCACTTTTAAAAATGATTATAAATGCTCAAAAAGTGATTGAGCGATCGAGAGATTTTAAAAAGTGCGCGATAACTAAAAAGCGCGGGATTATAACATAATAATACTTGTAACAAATAAGTTGAGCATTTAAAAACGCTAGGGCATGTATGAGTATTTAGGGACACGTTTAAAAGTGCCATCTTTTTATTTTAAGCATATGTTGCAGACGCTTTTGGTCTTAAAAAACGTATTCCAATTGTTATTAAAATTGGAATAAATTATTCCAAAATAAAATTATTTAAATGTTAATTGCACAATTACTTATCAGTAGTAAATGAAATAGTTACCAATATCATATAAATTTATTAATAACAAATTAATTTAAGTAATATAGGTAGGTAAACTTAATTGTGTAGTTTAATAATATTGTTTTTGCATTTTATAAGTAAATTATCAGTATGTTAAATTAGATTCACATAAAAAATTGTGCCTTGCACACACTTATATAAATCATATCATAAGCAAATAATTACATTAATATTTTTATTTTATTATACGTTATATAAGGTACTACTATATATATATACTATAGTATATACTATAGTAATACGTTATATAAGGTACTACTATAGTATATACTATAGTAGTACCTTCAAATTCTCGTTTTAGATAAAAAAAACATCCTGGATTTTAGATATGCTGTTCCTTGTGATTGAGAAAAAAGGTCTACTTTGATAAAAACTTATTATTTTGAAGTATTCTTCAATAAACATAAAAAAGCGCTCGGGGGGAAATAATAAGCCACAATATTACTATATATATATTATTATAATGTTATAGGGCCGGACACGGAATTTCGAACGACTATCATTCCGTTGACATAAAAATCTAAACTGCCTTCATGGACTAACCTTACTTCTGGTTTTCACTACTCTTGTCATTTTGACAGCGATAGCAAATATGTTCATTATTGTATCTTTGCTATTTCAGAATAACACAAGGAAAACCAAATGTCGTTCGAAATTCCGTATCCACCATTCTACATATGCACAGTGGTCCAAAATCAAAAAAAGCTGGCCAAAAGCCGAAAATTTTTATGAATAATTGTGATGTTTGTGTATGTAAAATGGTAAATGGACCTATTCTACGTATTAAACTACAAGGAAAATTAGGTAGCTTCGGTACTCGCATCTGTAGGTCAGTTACAACTAAGCTCCGCCAGAGTAATTATTTCGACGCGCCATATGTGTTAAAATAACTACAAGAGTAATTCACTGCAAACAAATTATCGCGGTGTCAGTTTCCAAATCGGTGTGACGGAGGGTGATCCTAAAGGTATGTAAAATAATCTCACACTTGTAAATCCTAAATTAAGATATTTTATGAGATATAAAAATGACATTGAATAAGCAACTGTATAATATTAACATTTATCGATTCGTCCTATAAAAAGCATTAAAATAGTTATCATCAACCGAGATCTTTTGCTTTTGTAAATTTTTAAGATAAAATATTGATATAACAAATATAAATCGACAAAAATTTCTTGCGAATTTCTGCGAATTTGGCTGTAGCATTACATTTTGTAGAGCCGCGCGTTTTTCTCTTAGTACATGACAAAGCGTGGCTACTTTCTGGAAAACCGAGAAATATCAGGGAATTTATTTTATCAGGAAATAATTAATGAAATTGTTATAAAATTTAATGTATTAAAAGAAATGTTTTGCCAAACGATTTAAATAAGTTACAGCCTATAGCAAAATAAAAACATATTTATTTTTCAAAATACTTCTGAAAATTATTAGTGGTTCTTGGTAATATTAAACAAGTTTTTTTGAGAAGTGGTGGTCTTTTTTTTCTTAGTATTATTTATTTTATAATGAATATTTTGATAAAAATTAAATTAAATTAAAATATACAGGGTGTCTCAGGTTTAATATTTATATCCCAGGTTTAATATCTATATAAAATGTTATAAAACCGTATTGATAATTTGTATGTAGTAGTTCTGCCGTGCTTAATGAAAACGCCGTAACCAACAATTTTGCGATTTTTGTTTTACGGCATTTTCTACTAGAACAATTCATCCTGTGTCTATCCCCGGTACTTAAAAAACCGTATATATATAGATACGGTTTTTTGAGTACCGGGGATAGACGCAGGATGAATTGTTCTAGTAGAAAATGCCGTAAAACAAAAGTCGCAAAATTGTTGGTTACGGCGTTTTCATTAAGCACGGCAGAGTTATAAATAAAAAATATTTAGAATTTTTTCTTTTAATCTTTCTAAACTTTTAAAAACTGTTTGATTTATTATGTTTTTAATCAAATTACTATTTTTAATGCAATAAACAATATGCTAAAAAAAATATAAAAAATCGCTGGAAAAATCTCTTAAAAAAGTTCTAAATCTATGTATAGGGTGTTTGTTTCTAAGGCAATAAGTGTTTATATTTTTAAATTCAAGAATGTATCTTAAACGAAGCTAATTACTATGTATTAAATATGTTTGTATTACTTTGCACTACCCTGTACTGTGACATATACACAAGGAAATTTAGGAAGTGGTAAAAAGAAATCAGTGAGTATTGTATAATATTTTTTTATTTTAGATTTATACTCTAGATAAACTCTATATCAGATTTTGTGTTTTATCAAAAAATTCAGAAATCAGTAGGACATTTTACAAATTACATTAAAAAATAGAGACAATTTCAATTAAATATTTATATATTAAAGTATACAAAATTGTCAATTATAACATTCAAATAATATTCATATTATGTATTTATAACACAAAATCAAAATATATAAAAGTATAAATTTAAATTTTTTAAATTTTCAAATGTAAATGCAAGATTCAGGGATCATCTTTTTTTAAATTTCAAAGCGTTAAAGATTGTGATTTCAATTTTCTTAAAGCGAATATTGGAGTTATATATTTACAAATTTCCTATTTTTTACATTAACCAAATCTCAAGTAGTTGAAAGTGAAACCCTCAAAATAACTCTTAATTTGTGAGTTATGTGTGCAAATTTTGTACACATAATAATTTATAAAAAAAATAGTTTTTTATTGCGTTGAATAAATATAATTTAAATCATTGAATAAATGTTTATTTTGCATCGTTATTTTGTTTATCCATCTTAAATTCAATGTGTTTTCTAATCCCATAAACCAAAAAAAATTTATTTGAAAAATGTCGGCCATATTGGATAAGCCAGTTTGTTTTTGGAATAATGGATAACAAATTTGTTATCAGCTACCTCATAAAACACAGGTTGCTAAATTTGAGCGATATCAGAACATTTTTTTGAAAAAAAAATGTCCTCCATAATGGTCCGCCATTTTGTTTTTCAAAAAATAAATATAAAATTCGTAATTAGCGACCTCAAAAACCACACGTTGTCAAATGTAAGCGATATCAGAATATTTGTTAAAAAAATGTCCTCCATATTGGATCCGCCATTTTGTTTTTGAAAAAAAGGATATCAAATTCGTAATCAGTGACCCCAAAAATGTTTAAGTCCCTGTTTTGGTAAACATATAACTAAACCTTCATATTTTGACCATGTTTTTGGGCTTTTGGACCACTGTGATATGGCTTGTTACAATTTTCCCCAAACGCTTCAAATGTAAAGGTCTGTTTAACAGACTCTGTTCTGAGGTAAAGATTGTAGATCTTAAAAATCCTACAAATCCTACAAATCTTAAAATAAAAACCTCAGGTTGAGATCGAACCTATTAAAAATTGTTTTAAATTTTTGCCCTAGGAATGGCATATCTAAAATTCAGATAGTTACACTTTTTTTACCCCTATTTTCTGACAGTTTGACTGTACTATGCATGGAGCCTACAAAAGGAGTAC